GAGAGAGAGAGAGAGAGAGAGAGAGAGTGAGTTGCAGCGGGGAGTGTGTGAGTGATGGGAGCACACAGGTGTGGGGAAAAAAAAACATTTGCAACAGTCGCTATTCCCAAGGTCAAAACACAACATATATGTGATCAGGGGAATATAGGTTCAACTCACCAAGAGTTGCAAGAACCAGGACGAAAACAGAGATGGCGCTGACCTAAAAACGAAACGGGAAAAATAAAATTAAAAAATAAAGGATTCTATTCGAATAAAATATTTTTCTCTTTTCAAAACTTAAATAGAACGCACATGTTTTATTCGAAAACAAAGGATACGTGTTGTATTCAAAGTGCCCTTCCATTTGGAAAAAGTTACCAACTTTTGAAGAAGTTTTTTTTTTTTTTTAAACTCGAATATAATGGATATACACTGTGTTTGGGCGAAGAAGGTTGTGAATGCCTTCTGATGGCTCCAGTCTATTTGTAGGGAGCCGTGCATGCTGGAAAATGGGTCCAGTGTCCCATATAAAACGGAAATATCAACCTTGTATGCACAACTTCCGGTTTCTTCATCCTCTGAGGGCATCAGAACAGCTTGAAGTTCTAGCCTCTCTTCAGACCAATGTCAACAGGTCTTGCTACTTTTGATAACTTCTTTATGTTCCATGGACTCTAGTCCTGGGCAAGCCTATGGCTTACCAGGCAGTTCCGGGCCTTGGTCCCACCTGCACCTTTTTGTTGTAGGAGGCTACCACGAAGCGACTGGGGGGCATCTAGGGACCATCGACTATGTCAATCCATGGTCCTGAGGCGCCCACCATTGTCTTCGTGGTAGCCTCCTGCAACGAAAATGTGCAGTTGGGACCGAGCCCCAGGAATACCCACGATTTGGGTGGGTAAAGGGGAGTTCCTTTTGTTATATACGTTCAGGGAGGTCTAAGTCCCCGATATTCCCTTTTTTTTTTTTTTTTTTAATTGGAGTATTCCCATCTTTATTTTATTTTTTTATTTTTATTTTTTATTTTTTTTCTTTGAGAAGGATAACTTTATTTCCAAAGGATAAAGATGGAGGCCGGGAAAACCTCCACATGACAACCCGGAGGAAAAACTGGGGCCATTACCCAGCTTAGGCTAAGCTGGAAACCAGGTCCAGCGTCCCATAAAACCACCTTCCTTAAAGCAACAAAATCGCAGATGGACTAAGAAAATGCAAACCAACCAAGTGATGAAAACAGAGAGAAGGTTGCCTGTCCCTGGGTCTTAAGTATTCCTTAGCCAGCTGACTACAGACATATTCCCATCCGCTCTCAGGGAGGCAAAAGACCCTTTGCAGGCCCATGTCTTACCGAACCAAATGAAATTTTTGGATCTCCAGTCTGATATTGTCGTGGTCCGGAGGTCCGAAAGAACTCTGTTGCAGATGCGTTGCCTGACATGGTTCTCCCCTTTGAACAAGAGGTCATTCCTTGCCCACCATATGGCCGCCATGATTATCCCCCTGCAGTTGGATAAAATGTAATTCTTTCCACTCGTGAGAGCACCAACATTGTCGGTAATGCCTTGTAAGATAAAATTGTCGGACCAGTCTGAAATGTTCCCATCCAGGAGCCTCCATCTGTCCTTCCACCATTCCCAGATCTCCGATGACTTGGGACAGAACAGCCAGAGGTGGGACGTCGATTCCAGGCCCAGTTACATCTACCGCAAATGTCTGGTATGCAGAGTCCCCTGGCTCTTAGCCAGACTGCCATTGTTGTAATGTTCATGGATTGCAGCAACATTATCGCGGCATTGTGCTGTGATGGGAGTCGCTTCAGACCCTTCCAGAACTTGCGCAGGTCAGCGTCCTTCGGAAGGGTTATCTGTGAGGCTGCTGCTTTTTTCTTTACGGTTGACAATGGTTTCTTTTTCTTTAAAGCCCGCAGACATTTAACCCCTGTCTTGGGTAAGTAACTGAGTAGTGGGACCGCTGGTGGACCTCTTCCCTTGTTGGGTTGGGTGGCCCGAGGTGCCCAGCCCTGAGTGAGGGGTTCCACTCTCAGGGTAGTAACCTCCACTGGGAGCAGAGTACACAGTGTGCTTTTGGCAGATGGGATCTCCTGTACCCTCACTTCCACCCACTGTGGTGTAGGGGAGATCACCCCTTCCTTGCTGAGAGTCAGGGGTCCCTCTGTTGGACCCCTTGTGGGGAGGGTCCACTTCTGGGCCTTAGTGGCGGGCCTCAGATCCGGCCCCAGGATTCTCCAGAATGTACTATTTTCTGAAGGATCTCTCAACCAGGTGCCAGGGGCCCAGTCTGAGTCGGGTCTGAGGGCTGCCACCCAGTGTGGGGGAATAGCCCTCTTTAGCTTAGTTCCAGATTGTGGAGTCTTGGGGCTTTTGTCCTTAGTAAGTCTAGGGTGATCCAGTCCCCTGTTTGCGGGTCCCAGATGTCCCTGATCTGGATGAGCACTTTTTCGATCCATGATCTGCCGAACGCGCCTGGTGTGGTATCAGCCATGAGGGGTCCCCCCTCCAAGGTCTTGATCAGGTCATTTTTCAAATAGGATCTCGTTTAGTATCTGGGAGCGAGAGACCGGCTCTGCAATGCAAATTTTCAAGAAGAAAATAGTCTATGTATAGTAGGGTTGGATCCACCCGAGGGTGGGTAGCCTAAACCGTATGTGTTCATAGAGTCCGTAGACTATTCCCGTCCTTATCCAGGGAGATGCTAACCTTCTCTCGGCTCAACGAACACTAGTCTATGTATAGTACGGGAACCGAGAGGATTTTTCAAAAAGAAAATAGTCTATGTATAGTACGGGGAACACCAACCGAGAGGATGAGATAGATGAGAGAAGATGACATAGATGACAGAAAGGAAAAAAAAGGACTGGTAACAAGACCCACTGCGGGGCCTGGTCCGGTCATAACGGATGTCTGGCCGTCAATGTGCAGAATCGAATCGACTGCGTCCACACTCCCGCCGAGAACCCATCACCTACTTCCGTCGGTGCAACTGTTGGTAAGCAGGCCTGAACTCGAATCCCGCAAACTGGCAGCTGTGGATTACGTGGGGCCGATGAACGCATATAAGGGGATCACAATAGGAAAGAAAAGGAACCCTGGGCCAACTGTCGGCACTGTCCTTTTGTCGTCATTTGACGTGATCGGATTCGAGCGCGGGATCTGCATATAGCCATATGCGCTGCGTATCGTCTTGAAATTACCCGTTTTCGACTGTTGTTCTCGGATTCAAATCGAGGCCCTGTTTGAGTGAGGCAAACCCTAGAAAGGCGTGCACGGGCGAAAAAAAGAGCGGGACTCCACGGCATGATATCGGCCGGTATACGATTAGATCATGACGCCGGCGGTTCCGCCGAAGGCAACAGCAGGAACGCGGCGCTGTGGCAATCCGCGCGCACGGCCGGCATAAGATCATCCGGCGAACAATCCGAGATAAACGGATTCTCAAACTAATCCGCTCTGGACTACAAGCTTTTTTTCATATGCCACACGGAGAGATTGAAGAGGCGACCATAGGCGCCGCCAGGCGCAGGCCCTTCGGCCTTAGTCCCCTACTATCAAATATATACCTTAATGAACTCGACCACTTTATAGAAGCCATCAGCGCCGCCTTCCCTTCTGCCGTCAGCGTTACTATAATCCTGGGCAACTCTTTCTCAACGACCGGTAGCCGCCGCCGCCTTCACGGGTCGTCGCGTCACTGCATTGTATATATGTATGTGTGTATGCCTCTGCGGGGGATCGCGAGGCGAGCACGTGCATGCCATTTGTCTGAGAGGTTTTAGGAGGGCAAAGGGCAGAAGCGCGGGGCACGAGAGTTGGGAGAAGGTAGACGAGGAAGAGGAGGGCGGAAAGTACTTGGCAGGAGTAAGAGGGATGGCAAGGGAAGAGGACGAGTACCAGGATGAAGTTGAAGAGAGATTAGTGAATGAAGAGTACAAGATATGGAAGCGAAACGCCCCGTTTCTGTACGATCTGGTGATTACCCACGCGTTAGAATGGCCCAGTCTGACGGTGCAGTGGCTGCCAGACAAACAGGAGCCCGCGGGAAAGGAGTACTCTGTGCAGAGACTGGTGTTGGGCACACACACGTCGGAGAACGAGCAGAACTACTTGATGCTTGCGGAGGTGCAGCTTCCGCTCGAAGACACAGAGACGGATGCCCGGCAATACGACGACGAAAGAGGAGAGACCGGCGGGTTCGGGACAGCCAATGGGAAAGTGCAGGTCATCCAGCAGATCAACCACGACGGAGAGGTGAATCGAGCGCGGTACATGCCTCAAAATCCCTTCTTGATAGCGACGAAGACGGTGAGTGCAGAGGTGTATGTTTTCGACTACAGCAAGCATCCGTCGAAGCCATCGCAGGAGGGGATTTGTAATCCAGATCTGCGTCTCAGGGGTCACCGGACGGAGGGTTACGGCCTCTCTTGGAGCCCCTTCAAAGAGGGTCACCTCCTTAGCAGCTCCGATGACGCTCAAATCTGCATGTGGGACATCATGGCCGCCAGCAAGAGCACTCGGATTCTCGACGTCAAACACATGTATCAGGCGCACATGGGGATCGTGGAGGACGTGGCTTGGCACTTGAAGCACGAGTACCTCTTCGGATCCGTCGGTGACGACAGGCAACTGCTGATCTGGGACATGAGAAGTTCCACGGCAGAGAAACCCGAGCAGGCCGTCGAAGCCCATCAAGCTGAGGTTAATTGCCTTGCCTTCAATCCCTTCAACGAGTATGTGCTGGCCACCGGCTCGGCTGATAAGACTGTTGCTCTTCATGACCTGCGAAAGCTCTCTGAGAGGCTGCACACCTTCGTTAATCACACCGAGGAGGTCTTTCAGATAGGTTGGAGTCCGAAGAACGAGACGATCCTTAGCTCGTGTGGAGCAGATCGAAGACTGATGGTATGGGATTTGAGTAGGGTAGGAGATGTACAGAGCCCGGAAGATGCCGAGGATGGACCGCCAGAGCTGCTCTTCATTCATGGAGGGCATACCAGTAAGATATCGGATTTCTCCTGGAATCCTAACGACGATTGGGTCATCGCAAGTGTTGCAGAGGACAACATTCTGCAGATCTGGCAGATGGCAGAAAACATATACCACGAGGAAGATGACGTTGATGGAGGTGCGGCAGGAGAGGAGATGCAAACAGACTAAGGAATGCAATGAGAGGATCGGAAGGGATGTGAGAGGGGAGGGGAGGGGAGGGGAGGGAAGGGGAGGGGAAGGGAAAGGAAGAATAAAGCAGGCGCACGAAGAGAAGGGATTGACGAATTTTCTTTTGATTTGTATAGGGTTCTTTTCCTGTTCGGGTCGGTAGTTAACAATTGTCGTTCTGTCATATTAGTAGCAAAAATGAGGCTGCAATTTTTTCTGAGTACGGAAGATAGACGCCGAAGATGCGTACAGTGCCCGGGTGGAGGGCGGGGGAGAGGTGCGGAGGGGGGAGGGGGGGGTAGATGGACGACGAAGCTTCTTTTTCCAAAGCTGATTCCAAACATGTATGCATACGCATGAACGGAGAGGTTGTGAGTGATTATGATGGAGTATTCGCAAGCGTGTACGTTAAGCGTCCGCCGGATCATGAATGATTTGATGTGAGCTAAGTTCTGAAGATCTCTGCGAGGAATGTTGCCCGAGAACCACGTCTGTCTGTGGTGTGCGTGTGAGGGTTCGTTTGTGTGTGTGTTGACTTGACGAAGAGACGTATTAGTGCTGTTGTAATCGAAGATTTATGCGAGAGGTTTATTGCAGCTTGTGAGGGATTTCTGCCAAACCAGTAAATTTCAAAGATCAAGGGGGATTTATCTTCTTAGGGTTTTGGCGTCAGGTCTCTGGTAAACGTTGTTTTTTGCTTGTCTACAGAATGGGACACACGTCCGATCACTGGTGGGGCAAGGGATCGCAGACATAATCGCCAACGCGAGAAGACACATAGGCGCGCTTGTCAGCCCTCGAAATACTACTGAGTGTCATCGGGCATGAAAGCGACTGGTTGATCCGGTAGTGGAGTAGCAGATTGGGAAAACAAACGAGTTATGGATGAGGCGACGAGGTACTGTGTGTGTGTGTGAGAGAGAGAGAGAGAGAGAGAGAGAGAGAGAGAGAGAGAGAGATAGAGAGAGAGAGAGAGAGAATGTATATTGAGATAGGTATATTGAGATCGCAGACGTAATCGCCAACGCGAGAAGACACATAGGGCTAGAAGTGTTCGATACATACGACGGATTGATTGGTAAGTGGATTGATAGGTGACTGGATTGATTGGTAGATGGGTTGGTGGGAAACTGACGGGACTGATAGATATAGGCTGTAGATTGGTTAGATCATTCTCTCTCTCTCTCGCTCTCTCTCTCTCTCTCCCCCCTTCTTTTTCCTTTTCTCTCTCTTTCATTGGGCCTCTCTGAGATATCTTTGCTATCCCAACGATCTTGTCTTCAAGACGACCCTATGATCCATCTCCTGCGGGTAGTAGCTCTCTTTTGTCGGCGCTGCTCGTCCTTCTGTCTGATAGTGAGTGGGTCTTCCATCCCCTCACGGTTAGTGATTAGTAGTTTATTGAGAACAGCATTGATCTGGCAGAGATCGGGTGATATGCGGCGGGTACGTCGAAACATTGTCACGATGCTGGAGCTATGTGCTGTACTCCAACTTGTCGAGATTTTCCAGCTTTTTGTGTTTTTTTCAACTTTCTGTGAACATTACAGCAGTTTTCCTTTCGGTGTCGAGTTTTGCTGTTGTGATGGTTCTGTGTATAACGTGAAAAACCTGTCAAAACGGTGGGTCCATTTTTGTTTTGGATGGTTTTTTTTTTTTTTTTTTTTTTTTTTTTTTAAACCACCAGTACCTACCGGTTAGGGCAGCCATTAACACGGAAGCCGAATCGGCCTGCCCCTCCGGTCCAAATCCATTTGAGGCCAAAATGTGGTAGGTACTGGTGGTTTAACAGTAGGTGTTTTCACATTGGCTGCTGTCGTTTCTTTTTGTTTAACCAATCGCTACTTGCCGAAAATCGGCCCAATTAAAAAATAAATAAAATTGGCCCAATTAAAAAAAAAAGAAAAATCGGCCCAAATCGTGCGGACAGGTACAGAGAGAACAACCTGTGGTCGTCGGATCGTTCGTCATCTGCACAACGCAGATGGCCGTCATTCTGCGACATAGTCAAACTCCTGCCTACATCAGTCACCCGAATAGAAAGCGCAGTCATTATTATGGCCGTATCTGGACTGAAAGTTGGACGAAAACCAGTTTTTTTCACGGGGCGTTTTATTCGAGTGAAGAAGGTAATGTTCGGGGGTTTAATATTGTATCTCTGGACTTGGAAGTTTTCAAATTGAGAATGAGGGCGAAGAGAGAATGGCACGTCTCCCGGTTAGCTGCAGAGTTAGGATCACTCATCCGTATTATGGTGGGTAGCTTGACACTGACCTGCTGCTTTTAGAGTCCGTTAGAGAGATGGAGAGAGAGAGAGAGAGAGACGATTGCACAGACGACAGAACATGCTTTTGCTTCTTGTCTGGTCTTCATCATTCTGGGCGTCGCCGCAGCACAACTCGTCAAATGTGAAAAAGACTAAGGCTATGGCAGATGTTGTATCTGTTCAACTTTTAGTCGCAGATGCAGGCTGCAGTTTGCGAACTTGCGTGGAGTGGTTCGGCTACCAGCCCCGCTTAATTTGTTTGTAGAGTACATACGTAGTTGCCTTGTTGTTTTTCTTTTTTTGTAGTTTTCAAAGTGTACATGAAGGAATTGGTTCGTCTTGATGACTGTGGTTGACGAGTTGATCCCCGTGGTTCTGCAGACCGTGATTTCTTTTTTCCCAACTCAGAATTATTTTCGTCTTCCCATCTGATTGCATCTGGAATCGAACTTGGGTCCGTGTACCAACTGAGCAAGACCGGTTCGTTTCAGATTTTTTTTTTTTTTTTTTTTTAACAGTTCAGACCATAATTTCGGGTTAAGGAGCACTTGCGAATGCGACAAATTCAAAAGAAAGGAAAAAGTACGAGGCAATTTGTGTTTTTTTTTTTTCTTTCTCGGAGTAAGGGGCAAATTCAGACTGAGTGATTGCAGCTTTCGTCACTTCTCTCTTTTTTTTTTTTTTTTTTTTTTTTTTT